CCTGGTCTAGTGGTGCTAAAGCCTGACTTCTGAGTACAGAGTGGCAGCCACAGATAGTAGATCCCTGGCTAAAGGGGGTGCACAGTGGTCTAGAGACACTTGAGGAGAGACTGGAGACAGAGGCTTTGGGGAGAGAACGGAGAGAGTAGCTGGTGGGGTCCTGGGACTGACTACTCACCCATATGGCAGCAACCATTTGGCTCACGCAGATTACTCCCTGTGCAGCAGCAGCGTGAGAGGACCCAATAACCCCATCCCCAGAAGGGATTCTGCCCCGCCCTGAGCTAAGGTGGCCAGCTGAGTGCAGAGTGACTATATTAACAACTGAAGGAGAGAGCCACAGACAGTAGATACCCGTCAAACAGACTGCCTAAGATCAGACAGGGTCAAAAGCTGACATCATCAGGGGCAGATCGAGAAAGAAAAAACAGCGGTCTCCTAGAAGTTCACACCACAAAGTCAGGAAATCAAGACAGATCAATTTAAGAAGCAAAAACAAAAAAGAAGGCTCTCACAAATAATGGGAAGACAAAGAAACAGCTCCCAAGTGAAGGGGAAGGAGGAATCCCCAGAAAGAGAGCTAAATGAAATAGAGGCAAGTAAACAATTGGCTACTGAGTTCAAAACAACAGTTCTAAGGAAGCTCAATAAGCTCAGTGAGCTCAGAGGGAATTACCAAAAACTACAGGGACACTACAAGGAACTTACTGCAAATTATATTGGCATGAAAAGGACATAGAAACTAACAATAACAAACAAGAGGAAATGAAGAATACAATTTCTGAATTGAAGAACACAGTAGAAGGAATCAAAAGCAGGCTAGATGAAGCAGAGGGTTGAATCAGTGAATTGGATGACAAGGTAGAAAAAAGCTCCCAGAAAGAGCAAGAAAATGAAAAAAGACTCAAAAAGAATGAAGAGGCATTTCGGGAAATGCTGTACAACCTGAAACTTAATAATATCCATATAATAGGGAGATCAGAGGAGAAGAGGAGCATGGGATAGAGAACCTGTTTGTTTGAAAAAGTAACGACAGAAAACTTCCCTAATTATTAGGAGGAGAGAAAAAGTCACACAAGTCCAGGAAGCACAGAGGGTCCCATTCAAGAAGAACCCAATGAGGCCCACTCCAAGGCACATACATCATCATTAAAATGGCAAATATCAAAGACAAACAGAGAATCCTAAAGGCAGCAAAGGAGAAACAGGTAGTAACATATAAGGGAGACCTGGAGACCTGATATGGCTAGCAGCTGACTTCCTAACAGAAACACAAGCCAGAAGGGAATGGCAAGAAATATTCCAAGTTGTGAAAAGCAAAGACCTGCAACCAAAACTGCTCTATTCAGCAAGGCTCTCAATTAAGATGGAAGGCAAAATAAGGAGCTTTCCGGAAAAAAGATGGCTAAAAGAATACACATCCAACAAACTAGCATCGCAAGATGTGCTAAAGGGACTGCTTTAAGAAGATGAAGAAAAAGAGTCTATGAATACCCAGTTCCTTTCACAGTCACCAATACTTGATATTACCAATATTTTTAATACTTATTAATCTGATTGTGACAATGATGGGTTATTATTTGTTGAAACTAAACCTGTTTTTGTATATTTCTTGCCTATTTCTATTATTTTTAAAAAGCTTTAAATGATTTTTTGGTATTCTTTATCCATTATTTGATTAAATGTTTGTAGAATTTTTTCTGTAAAGAAAAACCTATTAACTCTTTTTCAGATGTTACAAATACTTTTCTATTCTATTACTTGTCCTTTAACTGTTTTAATATGTGTATTACTGTATAGTCTTAAATGTTTAATATAGTTATATTGTCAATATTTTACTGTATAGCTTCTGCATTTGAGTATTTTACTTCAGGGTAAGAAAAATATTATTTTGTATTTTCTCCTAAAACTCCTTAGATTCTACATATTGATTTTTAGCTCACCTGAATATTTTTTGTATAATATGTGAAATAGGGCTCTATATTTGTTTCATTTCAAGTAATAGTGGTCCATGCATTTTATTTGTTGAATAAGCCTTATTTTCCCCAGTGATTTGAAATATCAATTTAATCACAATTACATTGTTAGATATATACATTTGTTTTTAGAATGCTCACTTTATTTCATTGATCTACTTGCTTATTTTTGTACTGGTGTCATGTTGCTTTAATTGCTGAGACTTTATAATGGATTTAAATTTTTTATTATTTTATAATGGATTTTGACATGTAAAAAATTAAATAAATAAAATTAATCTGCATTTAAAGAAATAAAAAGAAAGAAGGAACTCCTAACTTTTGTGGCAACATGGATGGAACTGGAGAATATTATGCAAAGTGAAATAAGCCAGTCAGTAAAGACAAATACCATATGATCTCACCTATAAGTGGAATCTATTCAACAAAACAATCTTACAAACAAAATAAACCACAGGCATGGAAACATGGAGCAGACTAAAAGTGACCAGAGGGGATGGGGAAGGAGGACAATGGTGGAGAGAAGGGGAAGGGACTAGACAAAGAACATGTTTGAATGACCCATGGACATGGACGACAGTGTGGGAACTGACTGTGGGAGCGGGGGTGGGGGTGGGATGGGTGGAAGAGGGTAAAGGGGGAAATATTGAGACAACTGTAATAGAATAAACATGATTTTAAAAAAAGAAATGTTAAAGGAACTTATCTAAGAAAAAGAAGATCAAAAACTATGAACAGTAAAACGACAACAAACTCACAACTATCAATAAATGAACATAAAAAAATACCCCAAAAAACAAAAGCAAACTAAGCAAACAACTAGAACAGAAACAGAATCATAGAAATGGAGATCAGAGGGGAGGTGGAGGGGGAAGAATGGAGGAAAAGGTACAGGGAATAAGCAGATACAAAACAGACAGGGGGAGGTTAAGAATTGTATAGGAAATGGAAAAGCCAAAGAACTTATATGTATGACCCATGGACAGGAACTAAGCTGTTGGGAGGAGTGCTAGGAGGAAGGGTGGTGCTGGATGGAGTGGAATAAAGGGAGAATAAAAGTGGGACAAAAATAAAATAAAGAACCATAGTTCATTTTAATATGTCTAAAATAATAGCATCAACAACATTAAACAACTGCCCATTATTTCTGTAATATTAATAAGGTATTTATGGTAACCACCTCTAATGTGTATTCTTGATTATATTGCACTAATGACAGCTGAATACTTATTTTTATTCTACAGATGAGGGGTTGGATGATTTGAAACTAGGTTTATAAACAGATTTCTCCCCTCACGGTTCTGAGTGTTCCTACTGTTATTTCCCCTCCTGCCCTGTCCAGGGCATTCCAGAACGGGAGTTCTGGCATTTAACAAGAGCCACAGCAGCATAATTTGCTTTGGAGGTCCATGCTTCTGAGGAACATTAAAATAAACACTAGGGCAATTGGGATTCAGAGTTTAGGAAATAGTTTCTTAAGAATAGATAAAGCGCGGGCCCGGTGGCTCAGTTGGTTGGAGCATGTGGGGAGGGCAACCAATTGCTATTTCTCTCTCACATTGATGTTACTTTCTCTCCCTTCCTCTCTAAAATCAATAAACATACCCTTGGGCAATGATTAAAAAAATAAGTACAGCTTAAACTGAAATTCAGTAACTCTTATGTTTATAATTGTGTGCTATTGCTAATAAGCTCATTTTTTCATGGATGATTACTACGTGTATCTTATGTAATGCTCTCATTATTTGCTACAGTTAGTATTGTTTATTGTATGTGAAATTTAGGTGCCTAAATATGTTATCACAATAAACCAATAAATACATTTAGTTATGTGTAAAACAATCACATGACTAACAGCTACAAGCTATTTAGAAATACTTGTAATTTTTCTCTTTTCCTAAAAATCTTTTTCCAAAATTTCAGAAAATCTGCTTAACACTCTGGCAACGTCCACCAATTGTTACTGGGAGATGCCAGAAGTAGCTAGTGACTTCCTAACTCTGCTTTAGCTTCTTTTTGGGTGACTAGCATGGTAAGAATGTTTGATAGGTTTGCAGGAATTAATAATGTCTGTATGAATAAGAAATTAGTGGAATTCCAGCATATATTCTGATATTCAGTATTTTACCAGGTCCTAATTATTAAACTTACTAAGATCAACAGTAAAGGTAAAGTTCCAAGTATCTGTCTTTTTATTTTTAGCATTTTGTTTAGCTATTGACCAATAATTGCTTTTTGAAAGTTAGAATTGACTGCTACTATAAATTGTTTTTCATAAGCAGGTAATTACAATAAGTATATCAGATAAACTCTTTGGAGATAGATAATCTGCAAAAAGTTCTACAATTCCTAAATGTGGGTTAGTTTAGTTTTAAAAAGTAATTTAAAATAGAATACTAAATATGAAATTACTGGAACTAGTTAGGTGTCCAAGTTTTGATGTTCCATTGTATTCTTTAAAAAAAGGTTTTGCTTTCTTGATTTCAAAAGAAATATAGTCATTATAGAAAAAAACTTAAAAATACAGAAAAGAATAGAAAAGAAAAAGAAAACCTCCAGTAATTGTTCTATATAGATATAATTTCTATTTATATTTTGGAGGCTATCTTTCTAGTTTTGTTTTTCCCTAGCAACTGTAATTATTTCTTATTTTAGTCCTTGTGCTAGACTCCTCAGCTAAAGCTGTGTACAAGGAACCTTACAGAACAGAGATCTAATAATTGGGATACAATGGAACTTACCTTCCCCTCTGCTCTTCTTCCTTGATAGAAGCTACTTCTAGTCTTTTCTTTTTTCTTCCATATCTGGACTTGGTAGACAGAGTTAGTGACTAAAGAAAGACATATTTATATTTGTAACAGAATAAAAGAAACGAGAGGAAAATCACACATTTTAAGATAAATATTTTAATTAAATTATAGACAAATCAAAGTTGTATATATACATATGCAACTATTTACAAATATGTAAACATATGTACAAAGACTAGAAAAAATACACAGAAAAAATATGTTAGCATATTGGGGATGCATATCTTTTTTATTATTTTGTAATATACTCAAAAAAATTACACTTAGGTAGGACTATTTTAGTGCTAGAGAATCTTATATAAGTGTATTTGTTCAAGAGCTTCCCTGTCAATATCCTTTTCTGGGTACACATGATAGTTCAGTGGTACCTCTTCAACCCAGAGAGGTAACTGTATATTAACCTGGAAAAAAGATGATAAACAAACATGAAAATGCAGAATGATCCTATTTTCTTGAAGAAATCCTATCTAAGTAACTGAACACAACAGACTTTTAGTACAATGAGCAGGACTAAATTCTACATGGTGCAAAATGAACAATTCTTTGTTGTACTAAATGGTCTGTGGATTCAGGGACTAAATGTATTTACTCTGATTTGGGAGTTTTAAAGAATAAAGAAAAAACAGAATAGGATAATTGTTTTAATGTAAATAGTTTAATAATTGTCATTAGGCTTACACAATGAAAGGCTACAACAACGAGAATACAGAGAGAACACGGAAAAACTGCTCACACATACAGTGATGGTGCTAAGGTGATATTCAAGTGGGGCTCATCTCCCTCCACAACCTTCTCAGGCCTTCCCCTTCCCAGGGCAAACCTGAGTCTCCATGACACAGAAATGCTGGAGCCACCAATGGATATATTATATATCTGTCTGAAGAAGTTTAATCAAATAGGAGAGCAATAAAATTGTTCAAGAATTTATGTATAAGGTGGGGGAGAACTGCATGTGGGAGAGGGGAGGTGGGGTGCTCAGGGGAGAGTAATAGGGAACAAAGGGGAGCAACTGTAATTAAATAATAAACTAATTTCATTGTGAAAATAAAGAATTTATATATAAAGACTCTTTCATAAATATTATTTTCCAATGGTTATCTAGACAGATTTTTGTATTTAGTGTGAAAGTTGTTACTTTGGTAAAATAACAATTATTTCAACGTATTATACATAGAAATTCTAAATTGGAGACCACATATTTTAAAAGATGTTTTCATGAGTATGGAAAAGTATGGTAGGATCACACACTCATGGAGTGAGGATCTCATGGGGAAGAATTAATTGGTGGGGAGACTAACATCTTTTGTTTATACATTACATCTATGGATTATTTCCCTTGTTATAGCAAACATAAATTACTTTTGTAATTTAAATGATTGAGAAAAATTTTTTAAAAGGTATTATTGATGATTGTTTAGTTTTTTAAAGGAAAAAATAGATGCTTAAATTTGGCAGTATTTGTACATAAGGAAAGCACTACTAAAGAAAATAATAATAGTCTGTATTAAGAAATACTACAGTTATCTTTCATCTGGATCTCAAAGAGCTTTACAAATACTAATTAACCTTTATATAAGGATCGACTTATTCAGTAGAATCTGTTATTAAATATCAGGCTTATTTTATATGAATAAATAAACTGACATAGTAGCTTCCAGATTACTTAGTTGATTCTAGAATTGCGTAACTCTGTTCGTTTTGTTCTAAGGGAAAAAGTTATGATGTGGGTGTTCAATGCCTCTTATAAACATTTAATAGCATCTGTTATCCTAAAACTGAAACTCCACAGCTGGAAAAATGGAGTAGAGAAGCAAAGGAGTATGAACCAAGATAACAATAACAATTTGAGAGCTCTTGAGGCCAGTTAACCAACCACAAACCAGTTCCTAAGCTGTTAAGTTCTTGCTATTCTTTCTATTATCTGTCACTATATTCAGGCAACATTTCTAGAATATTGTAACCACTTGTAATCAGAAAAAAGGAGCAGAAAAGTTTTGACAATAAAAATACTGGGCAGGCTTACATACCTGAAGACCTGAGAGAGTCTCTTCAAGACTTGGTACTGTCACTAATAACGATCCTTGTTTCCTTACATTATGGCTGATGTATTCCCAGGCTCTAAAACACATTAAAAGGTATATGTTAGGTTTTACCAGACATCAGAAATTTTTTTAAAAAATGAGAATGACAGCCCTGGCTGGGTAGCGCAGTTGCTTAGAGCATCATTCCAGTACACCAAGGTTGTGGGTTCAAGCTTTGGTCAGGGCATATACAAGAATCAACCAATGACTGCATAAGTAAGTGAAACAACAAATCAATGTTTTTCTCTCTCCTCCTTCTTTTCTCTCTCTAAAATCAGTAAATAAAAAGTTTTTAAAAATGAGGATGACAAAAGAAAATGCAACACAGGTGGTATCTCAAAATCCAGATGGGCAAAAAATGTTTGCCTGTCGAAAACAGGGCCGCAGCCACATACTAGAAATAGGTAAATCCTTCAGTTCCTGTTGCAGTGTTGACAAAATTGTGAAGCAATAGTATTGACAAGATTTAAAAAGATCATGATTCGGTTTACCTCAAAGCATTGTAAGCCAAAACTCAGTTTCAGAACCAATTCAAAGTCAAAGCTGCATCAGCAATTAGAGGCCCTTAAATTTTTTAAAGAGCATGTCAAAATGGTTCTGCAGAATGGAAGTGGGCTGAGGGGCAGAGGTAGGGAAGAGTCATGGAGGAAGGCCGCAGATACCAGACACCAAGCAAAAACTAACAATTAAGGTATATAATATGTAGGTTAGGTCTTTTAAAATAACATTGAAAGTGAAATCATAATTTACTTGGCTGTCATAAATATTCAGTGGAACGATTTCTGGACAATAAGACCCCTTAAAAGGTCAGTGGGATCAGCCAGGCTTAAAGCATGATTGAATGCCATGTGCATGAGTATGTGTCAGAGGGCAGTGTCTGACCAGTTCTGATTAACCTTTAGTGCAGACACGAACTGAATTTCTACAGTCTTAACAGTACACCCCGCTATTAGGGAGCAATGATCAAGCAAAGCAGAGCTATGCATCCCTTTCAGTGGGGCAAGTGGGCAGCTGTGTCATTTGCAATTATTTAAGTTACAGCAATGTACTAAGTTTAGTACATTCTAAAGTTCATTAGGCAAAATGATACAAATTTTTTATTCCTCAGGCTAGACCTAAAATCACATAGCAATGTTTATTAATATCACTGTGTTTGGGCAAGACCTGTTTTCTTTTTTTCTTTTGATGTGGTTCCTTAAAAACAATATATTTTACAAGTTTATTTAATAAGAATGAAGAAGCTGAGTGAGTATACTTGGCATGGCTCTCAAAACAGCACTTGCTGTGTCTGGTAAGCTCTCATGGTACATAGAGGCACATTTTAAACTCATAATTACTCTATAATCTGGGTGTTACCCTGTAATGAGATCTAACTTATTCTGAAAGCTGAGACTTTCCTGAGGTCACATTATCTATTATTGTGATATATTTTTTCTTTTTCTTTTTATCTTATCATCATGAAGTTTCATTTTATTGGTATGATGATATATTTCTTTTTTAAAAAGATTTTGTTTATTTTTTTAGAGGGAAGAGAAGGGAGAGAGAGAGAGAGAGGAGAGAAACACCTATATGTGAGAGATACATCAATAGGTTGCCTCTTGCATGCCCCCAGGTGGGGACCGGGCCTGCAACCCAGGTACATGCCCTGACTGAGAATTGAACTGGCTCCCCTCCAGTTCGCAGGTGGCACTCAATTCACTGAGTCACACCAACCAGGGCTATGATATATATCTGTTTTCTGTTATGTACTAACTTGCATAGCAGTACCATTCCATTTGCCCTCAGATTCTGATTAAGATTACAAATCTTTGGAGGCTATGTGCTGTCTTATCTCTTTTACTACACTATAAAACTAATATTGGTAAATGATCATTGTGTCAGAACAATTCCACTATCAGAATGCTTTACCATATTTTCTATTCTTTCTCCTGTAAACTCTCATTCAAGATGGAGATAAGATAATTAACGACGAGAAGCTATAACCTATCTATATTTAGAATTCATTGTACTAGACTAATTTGGGAAAAATGAACTAACACAGGTGGTCAATACCTGTTCAGTGAGTCATGTAGAGTTTGTGAACAAATGCACCAAGAAAATTTTTAAAACAATCCTAACATGCAGTATTTCCAGTATCGAATTCAGCAGTAGCTTTTGTCATTCTTTGGCATTCAAAATCTTTCTATAATAAATCTCCAAAGAGTTCAAGGTATTTTAAAACTTCTTATACAACATAAACTTGGTAATAATATTTCATTCTCTAACAATTATGCAATGTTTTGGCTACTGGTCATTAACTTAAAAAGGTAAAAAGCTAATCATACTTTGTCCACTGGAAATAAAACTTAAAGAGAGCACTATGATTTAAACAACTTTGCTCATGTTGTGTTTCTGGTCTTTAGCCTGTGACCAAAAATTGTTATTCATTTTGGCTGAGCTTTGATTATATGATGAGCTTTCTGTTTAGGCAGTTTCTTTTTAAACTATTTAAATAGTTAGTTTTGTAAATGGCCTTAACCTACTAGTCATCAGTATGGGGTGTATGTGTGTGAGTGAGAGAGAAAGTGGTGGTTGGGGAGAGAATATAAAAGGCGAAGGGGTGGCAGAATAAAAAGGTTTAGCCATTCAGGATTCTACTCAGCATTAACTGTTTACAGTCTGTTACCATATGCATTTTTATTTCTCTGAGGCAGACCTCTTACTGATGCACTAATCCAACCTCTGTAATTCTCTTTCGTACCTATGGAAAGGAGCTTTCCTGCATCTAGACTGTATATATGCCCTTATGATAAATAAGAAGTCAGCAAGCCTAACTAGCCAGAAAATTAGCACCTCAGACTACAGAGTATAGGAATTTCCTAATCAAAGGAACCTATAGGTCCTTATGGGTCACAAAACATTAAATTGTGGCAGAGAAATCAGAAAAGTGATCACAGATTTGCTAATTTTTCCATTACTTGAATAGTGGAATAAACTTGAGGGACCTATATTTATTACCCCTCATGAACGTTGTTCAAGTTTGATAATTAATCACAATTTTGGTTAATATTCTTACATCTTGTTTTATATTCACTTACAGGCATTAGTTAATTCCCTTCATTTTGTGATAGGATAGCATATTGCATATTTTTTCAAAGAAAAGAAAACTGAGGCAGAAAAGAATAAGTATAAAGGTCCACTAGGAAATGATATCTTATTTTATTTTTGACTGCTAGGCAAATGCTGGAGTCATGATATCGTTTTCATGTCTGTCTAAATTAGATGTAATATTTTACAAAGTTAGATAGTTTATTTTTTTAATTTATTTTTAATCTTCACCAGAGGACACTCCTTCATTGCTTTCAGAGAGGACAGGAGAGGGAGACATATGATGAAGAGAAGCATCAATTGATTGTCTCCCGAACATACCCAGACCAGGGATCGTATGTACCTGTACTGGAGCCACAGAATAATCCCGCAACCTAGGCATGTGCCCTGACTGGGAATCGAACCCACAACTCTTCTGCTACAGGTTGATTCTCCAAACAACTGAGGAACACTGTCCAGGGCAACAGTTTGTTTTTATTTTTTGTTTTATAGAGAACACATTTCCTTTTAAATATAACCTCCTCACACTGAGGTCATTTTTTAAAAGTTTAATATGAAAACATTTCTACTTTACCAATCCCTTTTCATACCTTGCTGAATAACAACAGACTCCTTGCTTGAGTAAATAACATACCTGGCCTGTTCTGCCTCATCAAGAAAATATTCGAAGACATTATTCATTATAACAACATCAGCATTTTGCAGAAGGGAATCCTGGGTACAGATGTTTGCATGAAGCACCTGAAGTAGAATGAGTTCACTTAAGACAACAAAGATACCATATCATACAATCACAGAAGAAACATCTACTGGTTCAATAATGTTGTGAAATAATATGTAAAGTTAACCCTTCTTAAGATGGGAGAAAATACAGTATACATAATATTACTGCCTTTGGGAGATCACATCTAATAAAAACCATAAACTTGTGAAAACTTGTTTATTTCTTTCAGATGGAGTTTTTTATATAATCATAAGTATATTCTTTTGACTCCCAGTTTGGACCCTTTCCCACTATATTAGTTCCCTCTTATCCGTGGTTTTGTTTTCTGTGGTTTCAGTTACCTGTGGTCAACCATCGTCTGAAAATATTAAATAGAAAATCCAAGAAATAAATAATTCACATTAAGTTTGAAATTGCAAACTGTTCTGAGCAGCATGATGAAATATCATGCCGTCCCACTCTGTCCTTCCCGGATGTGAATCATCCTTTTGTTCAGCCTATCCACACTGCCTGTGCTCCCTGCGCGTTAGTCACTTCATAGCTATCTAGGTCATCAGAGCGATTGTTGCAGTATTGCAGTGCTTGTGTCCAAGTAACCCTTATTTTACTTAATAATGGCCCCAAAGTGCAACAGTAGTGATGCTAGCAATTCAGATATGCCAAAGAGAAGCCCCAAAGTACTTCCTTTAAATGAAAAGGTGAAAGTTCTAGATGTAATAAGGAAAGAAAAAACATCATATGCTGAGGTTGCTAAGATCTATGGTAAGAACAAATCTTCTATCTGTGAAATATGAAGAAAGAAAAAGAAATTCATGCTAGTTTTGTGTTGCATCTCAAATTGGAAGTTATCACCACAGTGCGTGTTGAATGCTTAGTTACTATGGGAAAGTCATGACATTTGTGGGTGGTAGATACTAACAGAAAACTTGTTCCCATTGACATCAATATGTTGCATCAGAAAGCACTGAGCCTATACAAAGACTTCAGCAAGTGATCCCCTGAAATGAGTGACACCAAATCATTTACTGCAAGTAAGGAATGGTAGAGACTGAAAAACATAAAAATTACTGGAGAGAGAGACCACATTCATATAACTTTTACTATAGTATAATTGTTCTATTTTATTATTAGTTATTGTTAAGTTCTTACTGAACCTAATTTATAAGTTAAATTTTATCATAGGTATGTATATACAGGAAAAAACACAGTATATATAGGGTTTGGTACTATATCTACGGTTTCAGGCATCCATTGAGGGTCTTGGAACATACCCCCTCAGATAAGGGAAGACTGTTTTGCCAGCTGTAAGAGTCATCAAGTTCTGGTTCCTTTATCAGCAAGGTTTGTACACTTAGGTCGTCAGGGTCCTCATAAATAAAATAGAATAAATAATATCTGTTCTGATTCATAGATCAAATGGGACCATAAAAACTACAAAAGTAATTTATAAATTGTAAAATGTTAATACAGTATGTTAATTGGCCTTGCCTGACTCTTCATCTAAAATTCACTGGAAGGTATTATCTGTCCAAAAAAACAAACAGAACAATTTATTTAAAAACTATATACCTCAAAAAATTAACTTAGACCACAATCATCAAGTCTTATAGACTCCAGGAAACATAACAAGAAACATTAATTTTTCACCACAAACGACTTTTACTTTAGAAAGAGAAAAAGTTTATCTACTTTGCATCACACGATTTCTTTCCAAATAAACACTTGGTTTTATCAATATATAATATTCAGAATGTTGTGGGGACTGATTTTAAAATTCATTTTCTCTTTTTTTAAAAATAACAAAAATACTAAAATAATTTCAATTAAGGTGGCCTGGAACCTCTGAAGCATAGTTTTGACATGTTTCTGAACACAGAAAAAATAGTCACTTTAAACTTCTAAATATGTAGCTTAGATATAAAATAGGTATGAAAATTAACCTACTGATATAACATAGCTTTCAAACAATTTTTTCTTTTCCTTTCCCATGTCTGTTCAATCCCCCCAACCCTTACCACACAGGTACGATAAAAAAGGACCAGGTGGAACAATCAGTTATGCCAACTGACAGACATGCTTGCTCTAGAATTCACAGGAAAAACCCAAGGAATGGTCTGGACAAACTGGAATGCCAATAATGCAAGAGGTCACAAGGCAGCCAAAATCAATTTAACCAATTTCTAATGAGTATCTCCTATATACTAGATACTATGTAGGGAGAGATATCATAATGAAGGAGATACAATATCTGCTCTCAAATACATTATAAGCTAGTAATGGGATGAAACAGTTATGCTGATAACTGTATAAGTGCCATCAAAGGAAATGAGGAGGCTATGAATGAAGAAACGTTACTTTTAGCCTGGAGGAAAGGGAAGAAAGAATTTAAGTCGATGGGTCTTCCATGGATATGGCATATGAACGTGTTCTTGTACTGTTCCTGAGCCCCCATTATAATAAGAGGTTTTTAAAATATAAGGGATACTCCAACAAGGATGGAGAGAATGGGAATGGAAATAACATACACAAAATCTATAAGTCAGAAAAAAAAAGGGATGTAATAATGAGTTTAGAGACCTGGGAAAATTGATTTCTGAAATATAGAAAGTTAAGAACCAAATGTGGTTTATAGTACAGAATCTCCAAAAAGCTCATAATTGGTGGTACCAGTTATCTTTCAGTAAAGCAATAAGAAGAAATGCTAAAGATAATTTAATTGAAAGTTTGCCTAAGAAACAGAGAGATTCTCATATACCTTTCTGCTACCCCAACGGAAAAACAGAGGTTTATCCTCTGGAAAGGGTGAAAAAAAAGGTCTCTGGGCCAGGGGACACCAGGCCTAGTTGAAGGAAATGATAATATAATGAAAACAAAGGAATTAAGGAAATATGCTGACAGGATGCTGAGAACCCCACACCTCTCTCTAATTCTTTTCCACTGCCTCTCACTCCCTAGGATGCTGCTTGCCATTCAGTAAGGAGACTGGAGAGGTTTACTCTGGGCAATGAGTCTGTCCCGAGAGGAAAGATCTTAGGATACTTCATCAGATATTCTCCAACTAATTAATTACTCAAACAAGATCACTCAACAGTGAAGACCCCAGTACTCAGAATCCCCATTCCAGTGCTTCAATTAGAACTTCAACTGATGTCACCGCAATAAATTCAACTTAAAAAAAAACTTCAATCAGCATTTTTGTTCCTCACTCTTAAGTATGAACAGACAACAAAGGGTTCCTAGACTTCTGAGGAAAGCCCTGTTTAAAAAAACAAACAAACAAAAAAAAACAACCCCAAACAAGTACAAAAACAAAACAGAAAAGACTGAGCCTTGAAGGCTAGTTGATTTCAACATATTATTTAAAAAAAACCCTAGAATTCCCTTCTGTTATCTTAGGGCCTTTCAAATCCAACATTTGTCTTTAGTTTCACAGAAGGAAGTTTAACTGTTAAGGTTGCCAATAAATGGTATAAAAACAGCTTTCTGCCTTTGGGTTGTTGATGGCTGCAGAAGCCACAAGCCGGGAAAGTATGAGCATGGGTGTGCATCCACATACATTCCTTTGTAAAGCAAGGGGTAAATATCTTTTAAAATGTTAATAAACATTTACTTTATACACCTTAAACATCTTCTTTTAAACATTGCAAAAAAGTATTTGCTTATCCATTTGTAAACTATGATTCTTAAGAAGTCCTAATTTTTAACTCTCATTTCCAATTAAATTGATATTACTATAATGTGATTCTTATTAGGTAAAAGTTGTGTTTTGCTTCAATATATGTGGGATTGTGAGAAAAATCAATGAATATATTATTGGACAATGAATTAGCTTTGACCATTTGCTTCTCTATTTCTAAGATGAGAGACAAAGAAAGAAGGAAGGCTGGAATGAGGAAAAAAGTGAAGAAACTTCCTTCTATATAAAAGGACAAGGTCAGATCCTTAATCTTACTGAAATGTGACTTTCAACATTAGATTGTCCTTAACACTAGATATTGTTAGATACTCAGTATTTCTCGGCATTGACATTAAAAGTGTAGGATCGTTACTGAAATAAGAGTTATTTCATTAACAAAAAACTTCCTTTCCTATTTTGTTAATTTCCCCTTTACATATAGCAGTCATTTTTCAACCAGTGTGCCGCAAGAATTTTTAAAACATGTAATACCTGACTATTTGGTCAGGGGCACAGACTTCTTTTCTCTTAGATTGTTAAATAAAAAACTGACAACAGCCAACACAACAATAGCCAGCTGGTGTGAATGTCCTGACTTGAACCATAAATATGTAAGTCATATAAAAGAGTTGCACCCTATTGGTCATGTCGCATAATAGGATTGTGTCTGATTAGTTAATTCTTGGTACCAGAAATCCTTATGTACAAGCATAGGCATCTGATTCTTATTCTTTATTATTGAATTTATTGGGGTGACATTGGTTAATAAAATTACGTCGGCTTCAGTTGTACAATTCTATAGTACATCGTCTGTATATTGTATTGTGTGTTCACCACCCCAGATCAAGTCTCCTTCCATCACCACTATAGCTCCTATATCATCTACCTCCTCCAGCCCCCTTTCCCTCTCATAATCCCCATACTGCTGTCTGTGAGGCACATGATTTTTAAAAAAGTCACTTCAGAGCAAAAAAAATTATACCTTTTTTTGTCAGATTGGCAAAAAATGTTTTTTGGTGTGCTGCAGAATTTTAGTAATTAGACTATGTGTGCCATGAGATGAAAAAGGTTGAAAAAGAGAAAACTTCTTTTGAAGCCCAACCTAGTTCATTCCCCCATGAACTGTTATTCTGTGGCGTCCACAATTCCTCCTGAGAGCTTAGGAAACAGAGCATAAAGGCTGTGAGCATTACTTAATCTTTTGCTTACTTTCTACAGAGCTCAATTAAATACACTCTAACCAACATCTAGAAAGTAAAAAATGCTGCTACCAATACTATAGCTGATATGAAGAAAATTAAGAAAAAAAATATCTACTTTCTAATAAAATTGGGGAGGAAGAGAAATATGTGAGTGGAATATAATGATAATAATTCATCTTTATAAATGTTTTAAAATATAAGGTCAATTCAAACCTGTTTCTATACAATAGCAACCAAGAATAGATTAAAAAAGATTTTCCATGGCCATGGACAACAGTGTGTTGATTTTTGCAAGGAGAGAGGAATAAGGGGACTAAATGGTAATGGAAAAAAATACAATAAAGATTAAATTAAAAAAAAGATTTTCCAACTATAATGCAGAAAAAATTTGGTTAAATTACGCTATACTATAAACAACAGAACATATATTTAACACAGTACCTTTATTCTGTCAGTGAACTGGTATTTTTCTATGATCATTTCCTGCAACTGGCAAAAGTCTCTGTTCATTTCTACTCCATACAGTTGCAATGCTGAACTGTAAAGGTAACCCTAAAATATGAGAATACATTAGGATACAAATGAATTAACTTTTTTTCTTTAAAGATTTACTTATTTTTAGAGAGGGGAAGGGAAGGAGAAAGAGGAGGAAGAAACATCAATGTGTGGTTGCGTCTCATGAGCCCCACACCCTGGACCAGGCCTGCAACGCAGGCATGTGCCCTGCACTGGGAATCAAACCGGCGGACTCTTTGGTTTGCAGGCCAGAGCTCTGTCCATTAAGCCACACCAGCCAGGGCTGAATTAACTTTTTATTGTGGGTTTATTTCTACTTAAAAGTTAAAAAGTCAAACTTTTAAAAATAGAATTCAATAAAGTAAAAATAAAAATAAATAACATATTGCAGTTTATGTACAACTTAAAACTTTCAGAGCTTAAAGACTTACTGATCAAGAACTTGATTGCAGTTTACTAATTTCCAGTGTTTAAAAGTAATTATATTTTTAAAGATTGATTTCTTACTTTTTCTGATTAACCTGTGCATTTAACAAAATGAGAAAAGTGATCACATATAGATTCTCTATTTAATACCCTATTTCTTTAATTTCTTTGGAAGATGGATCAGGGGAAAGCAAAGCAGGAGTAACCCTGTGGGGGCTATAACTGGAAAATCATGCACTGAGGAAGACCTGGAGGTGTGTTCTGTTTGGCTTAGGGAAGTCAGCCTGCTGTCAAGCAATCTGTCAAAATAACGACCAATTAATTAAAAAGGATAATCAAGAATTGACTATATATTGTTATGTATCTATTTTGGTTTCAATAACAAAACAATGTCTGGGAGAAAAGGTCAAATCACATTCTGAGTATCATTTTATATCAACTAACACCTAAGTGTCAACCAAATTTATATTTATAGCCCATCATGGATTTTAGAGCATGTTTAACAGACCATATGTAGGTATTAAAATTTTTGTTGACTGACTCAGTGACCTAATATGAAGAAAAATAACAATATGTTTAAATTTATTCATGCTGCCACATACCTGCATAACCAATTATATCAATTATATACCTTTTTAACAAATCAAATAAGAGTGGACAAAATATTGTAAAAAAAGATCTCTAATCTTTTCCAAACAAAACCATCAGACAACTGTGTATTTTTCCATTATGGCTATCTTTTCTAATGACAGAGTAAAAGTTTTAACACTGAACAATAAATGAATCATTGAAGAGTTAACTGTTCCTGTTCAGTGCCGGCAATGATGCTGGGAACTGATCGTGCCTGTTTCTGGCATGAGCCTCTCCTGCTGTTGGCCACATGTTTTAACAAGTTTGCTAATGACAACCAGAAACCACATTGCAGTTTTTTGATTAAACTAGTTAAGAACATTAAAAATACTCATGATTTAAATTTTGAAAAAAGCCACATTGAAGTGATACTTCAGAAACAAAGGTCTACAATCAAACTTTGGATCGCAGAAAATTGGAGCAAGATGTGTCCTTGGATGTCATTTAGTTTTCTCACTTAGGGTAGGAACTTGAGGCTCAGAGGTGTTAGGTGCCTTTCTTATAGCCATGCGCAACTTCCTAGGTCAAGTAAAACTGTCAGTTTTTTAAGAGCTCTTATCAAAGCTAGTATACTATTTTAGTATAGTACAAAGAAAACAATCAGAAGGCAGTGGTGGCTAACAAAGCAGCGAAGTGTTATGAGGGTTGCCTGCTTCTGTTTTGTTGATACTCTTTCATCTGTGTCACAGAGACAAACTAATAAAGGAAATCAGAGAGCTGGCTTTTGAAATTATAAATTCAATATACTATTTGAACTTTATTATTGTTACTCCAATAAATAAAACCAAGCTGTCACCTTGGATGGTGGCAGGCAAAACTGTTGCTAGTAGGAGAAGAGAGTATTTTCCAAATGTTGAGTATGTCCACAAGCTGGACTTTACCCCATAAAGGACTGTGCCAAGCCTGGAGCCAACGTCGACCAAGAGCTTTCCAGACAGATCAGGGAGTACATGATGATAAATGAACTTCAATTCCATGAGAGAGAAGGAATGAGAAATAAATCCTGGAGAATTAGAACAGAATGAACATCAATTTTTGCTTGGGCATTAATAATTCCATTCTGCATTTCTTTGTCTTTCACCTATGTTTATAAAGGATAGTTCATATTTTTATTTTCTTCATCAGTGAAAGCACTTCAGCGGTTATTTAGAAAAAATCAATATGATAATTTTTCACTCATTCACTCTGAACTGTATTAGAGAATATGAAGCCTCCGACATTTAAAAGTCCTCTAAGGAACAGCTTACTCAGCTGCTTGTCCCTATCACTGTGCCCCTCATTGCCTTTTGTTCCTATGACCTATTGTTCGTTGGGACTGCTTCCTAGCTCCCTTACCATCTGGCTTTCTCATCTTGCCCCAGAGTCAACCACAGAACTGCCTCATATTGCTGCATAGACTGTAGACTACCAAATGCATGACCATCTCTGGAGTTGCACAATGTGGCAGCCCTGACCAACCTAAAATGTGGTCTGGATTGCAGAAGAGGGGTGGTATTAAAGGAGGTTTAAATACTCCCATAAACTGTTCTTATTTCCTTTAGTTTAATTGCTACAATTTCTAGCCTTCTACTTCATCTTCTCACTCCATTATTTCTGTAATGAAATATCTGGGAGAGCTTGAATCTGTTTTTTTCTGATATGGAGGTAACTCAAAGACTCACTATGTTATGGTCTGCATAACATAATGGCCTGGAAGGAAAGAAACACTGGCCATAACATAACAGAATGTGGCAAAGAAAATGGAAGCAGGCAAGCTAATCAGCTGGAAGAAAACAAAGGGCATGATTAGTCCTCAGAAGTAACAGGCAGGTGGGCTTTGACCACTATAGTCCTGACCTTTAATACCCTCTTTGCCACATTAATGCTCCTGCCCTGGGCTACAGAGTCATCATTAGTAGCTAGACAAACCCCCTGTCCTATAGGAAAGGAAAGTCCCACATGGTGATAGGTTTTTCATATTCATTACAGTTACCTGGGCTGGCATGGGTACTCAGTCACTACTTAGAGCCTGATTTTTATGGGAAAATGCATTCTAATCTTCAAATCTTTATTGTTGAACATAGCTGTTATATAGATTTTAATAAATCAGATCTGATAGTGTTATAATTCACTTTTTGCTTTCCCTCTATTGTTCTTGTCTAAGTTCTTTCCTATTCTGTGACTTCCAATAGAAACCATAAATACTATCTAAAAATAGAATCTTAAAACAGTAAATTGGGGAAGTTTAATCCCCAGTTATAATATAGATACAATATATTTGCATTAGCAACATATTACCAATTTGGTAGTAGTAAACTTTTGAGAATGGTATTGAGCACAAGTTTCCTTACCTGGATGATAGCCCACTCTAAGCAATAAATCTAAGGTAGCAGGGAGATTGAAATAGCATGTCTAAAGCAACAGCCTAAACAATCACATCCAGTTTGGACAAAGAATATATTAACAGAATATAGTAGTAGCATGGAGTCAGTCTAGTTGGCCATTTGGGACACATGTGCTGCATCTGAGGGGGCAGAGATGCAGGAGAATTTCTATCACTAGTGTTGGTTTTCTGTGGTGGCCCGGAGATACTCTACTAGGTCAAGCCATAGCCTGAGTAAACTCTTTCTCAAGATTATCCATCATTGTTCTCTGAGTCCATGTTCATCCAACAATGTCTGATTTATACGAGTATCTGACTTCTCAAGCAGATGTTTTCATAGGGAGAATATTTCAGTCTCCTTGACCATATTTAACTAATATATTTCTCTTGTAAATAAATCAGCATTAAGTCAGTTTCCCTGTACTCCGTGACTTGTGATTAGATTCTGGACCTGAAAAGTCACCTCTGATGAAACTGTTTCTGTGAAAATGGCCTAGTGGCCTAGCTTCCTTAGACAGCATTTCGATTTAGTCCCCACAACTGCAGTAATTGATAATGGCTATGCTATAGGTTGGTCTTGTTTTCAGAAAACATTGAATGACTTTGTCAATAATTTGCATACCCACGACATCTAAGGAAAAGTACACACAAAGTCATCAGGTTTGAATACTTGAGTGCCCACCTAAAGGTGCTGTCTGGTGTGAGCCACACACCATGCAGTAGTTTCTGCTCATTTTTCCTTCCTCACATAATGAATCAATAAAGTCTTCATCATAAAGGAATGCATCAACGTGAACTGTGGGTTCTGGCCGCTGCCGTATCTGGTGGAGAAGAAACACATCAAAAGAGACAAAGTACAAAGAAGTCTCTTTCTATTGCTAAATAAGGCAAAACATCAGTGGTTCATATGCTAAAACCCTGCCAGCAACAAGACACAGAAAGGCAAGCAACTGTGCTCTTAGCTTTTATTTCTAAGACTTTTTTGTTTGTTTGTTTGTTTGTTTGTTCACAGGGATTAGGGGGGACCAAATTACTTTATTTGAAGGAATAGTACAAATGAAAAAAAACGTAAGTGTATAATTTGGTACAACTTTTAGAAAAGGTAAAACTAACTCCCACATGCACACACTGCCCTGGTGACCAGGGAAGTCACCTTGAGAAGCCAGGTTAACACTGAGCTCTCATCACGGTCTCGCTGGCTGTGCTCCGCAGAGTTACTCTGCCATGCCAGATTAGGAGCGTCCACTTTGAGGGATCAGCTGCTTCTTTAATGGATTTCACCTGCTCATTCAGGTAATGCGTCTCAATGAAATCACACAAATGGGGGTCATTTTGTCAGTGGCCAACTTGTTATTTGACCTGTGATGATGCAAAACATGCCTATGACAAATATATCAAATCTTAGTTGAAAGTACTTTGAGACTATCTTGTCCATCCGAAGCAGTTATGTTTTACTAATAAAGAAACTGATACGCAGAGAGATTTCTTCCAAGAAATGACACTAGCTAATAAGGTTATTCTGAGTCCTACATGTTAGAGTCTTACTCATCAAAATACTTAGTAAGTAATCTTTGCCTAGAGGCAAAGTTTTCAATTAATAAAAATATTAGTAAAACTCAGGCTTACTACTAATGGCTCTTTATTAACACTGTGGTACATGATATATTGTATAATAGCAAGTGGCTATAAAGAAAAAAAATGTCTGATTTCTCCTACTTTATCAACTTATCTGCTTGGAAAACTACTAAATTATATCTCCATCTGCACAAAATCTGCATCACGAGTATGCAAAATATATGAACATACACAGGATCAGAAGGAAACAAAGGAAGATAAAAACAGTTTGTCAGGATAGGGAACTGTGGGTCGATACTTAACATGCAATGAATATTTTCCTCATTTTACGTACTGTGGTATATAATGATACTGATTTTATTAATAACATCCAGACTGTATTATAGATATTTCTCTTAGTTTTAAAACTATTAACTCTTCTCCTCCTTTGAGAATCCACTCTGAATGAGTGGATGTTGACAAAGTGTTCACAATGTGCACAGCACTGTTAAAAAGTACAGGATTTAGTTCCTCTGCTCAGGACTTACATGGTGAAAAACCATATGGACGGTTGTTTTCAGGTCAATGGGTGAAAAGATTATTAGTACTAGCTTTGCTTTAGGAAACAATATTTATAGCATATGTATCCCACAGGAGTTGGGATTTGAAGGGACTTCAATGAGGGGATTGCATGGAAAAGAAAAATAAGAACTAATTCTAGGAATAAAGGAATAGGAGAATAAGCAAAAATTGTACAATGCAAAAAGTAGGAGAAAGGAACAAAGAGGTAAATGTCACTATTGATAAAAGCAAGGGAAATGGGACAGGGAAGAGAAAACCAGGACAGTGATGTAGGCAGGACCAGATTATTGTTGGGCCTTGATTTTAGGGAGTGGGGTAAGGTGGCTGAGTGCTTGGCAGACAGGATACCCTCAAAAAAACATTTGCTGAATGAATAGTACTGGGGAGCTAGAGGGTTAGAGACTCAAAAGAATTGGGAACATAGATGAAGCACCAAATGAAAAGCTATTTAAAGCAGAATTCAGCATTATCAGTCTGGAAAGGCTATGGGATTAAGGAAGAACTGGAGAATCCTCAAACAGCACTAAGAGGGTATTAATAAGGTATTTACTTTTTGGAGGGCTAGATGTTCTGAGGAAAGCATGGTTTCTAGAGGTAAGCAATTCCGAAGATCTTCTGCTATGCTTTTCAAAATACTGTCATTATTATCTTGAGTGAGCTCATCAAAATCTCCTGGAACAAAAAGGGAAAGAAATAGCTTTCATGGTTGTAGTCATACCTAGATTAACTGATTACGATGGGCATATTTTCCATCACATGGTATCAATTCATAGCAATTAATAAACCTTCTAGCCAATGAAATATTCAAATTGTAACAAATGTTCCATTAAAAATATTGAGTTTTTCTTTTTTCCAACTACTTGAAAATATAAAACTTGATTATTTGAGCATGTTATAGAAAAACAAAGGCAATTTAAAAATGTAGTAGTTTACTTTTACTCAAGAATAGCACTGCCAGTAGTTTTTAGGGTCTTAAACTCACCAGTAAGTAATCAAATATTCCTTTTCTGACCATATCTTAGAAGTTCAGGAGGCATCACACATGGATTACTGAGACGATAACTTTAATCAGAGAATTCCTGCTTGCAATAAAAGGTACTGAAGACTTCAGATAATAAGCACTAACAGCTGGCACTAGCTGTCATAAACTTTACAACAATCATGCTGTTCTACTGCATTTGAGCAGCAGATAAAATGATCATTAAAGTAGCATATTTCTGATGGCTGTGGCCTACTTTTAAATGATCTGGCAAAACAGGGAAGGTGGAAGTGTGTAAGCAATAAAGATGAGACAGTAAAGATCAATAATTGGTGACTCTAGATGAGGGTATAAAAGTGGAGTTCACTGTTCTGTTGTTTCAATTCTTCTGTTTAATTTTTTAAATTGTCTAAAAAATGTACTATTTCTAAGCAGTTCACATATAATTTTAAATAGAATGTAACTTATCTGGAAGTAAAATACTCAAAGTTACTGTCTAGGATGCCAAATGTAGGCTAGAAAGGGCTACTAATGAAAATATTTTATTTTTCTCTTAAAAAAGTCTTATATTGAATTCTTGCTAGAATAAAGGGACCCCAAAGGGACTGTGTCTTTCTTACTGTTTTAAAATAGCTGTACAAGGAAAACATGAAAATCCTGAAGGAAACGTCATCTATCTCCACATCTCCTGTCTCCTGAATCTTTGGTTTTTTAAAGTAAGCTCATGATTTCCTTCTTAAACATAAAATAATTCTTGTGTTGGTTCAGAATGTTAGTTTCATGTCACAAATAACAGTTAAAATTTGAATAATATTTCATAGTTTACAAAGTTTGTTCATGTAGAAACTAGGTTATTTAACTTTTATAACATCCGTGTGAGGAAAACAAAGCAAGATTACATTCCTTGATTTACAGCTGAGATAACTGAGTCTTCTAAAATTAAAACAATTGTGAAAAGTTACAAAGCAGGCCAACAGCAGCACAAGGAAATAAATCTAGGTTTTCTGCCTCTAAATAAAGGTGCTTTCACTATACCACTCTGTATCCCTGCATACAAAGGTTCTTTCTCTGCATAATTTCCCTTTGAGCAACAGTAGTTAATAAGAAGATACATTACTTGGCTCTCTGAACTGAGGTGGGAAGCAAGGTCTTTTAGCTCTTGTTTCTTTCCTCACCCATCTAGTATAATCTAAGCTGGTGCTTCAAAGTATTTTTAGAAGGAGGCTGAATATAAATTCTAGAAAAACAAAAATACTATTAGATTCATTCCAAATTGTTTTCGGCGGAATTTAAATAGCATCTGTGATGCATTTAAAAAACAGAAAACAAAACTGGGCCTTTCATTGTATTCTTAAAATATAATTAAATTTTCTCAAGGTGCTAATTAATAACCAACATCTGCTTAGCTTCCCTCCAATGACAAAACACTGGAACCTTCTATGACTCACATTTAATTCTAATAATATCACTCACACCAGTGATCTTTAGCAAGTTCTCTCAATTTGTAAATAGTATAACTAAAGAGGCCAATAAAAATCTCATTATGTTAAACTAACATATTTCAAAGCCCAACAACTCCTTTGGACTTAATTCTGTAACATAAACAACCATGTTTATAAAACACAGTTTTCACGTAGGTCTGCCTTATGAAACAAGAGTCTTAGACACTGGAAAGGGACATATTACTAAATGGCAGCATGCATCTATTCATCTCTGGTAAGACAGTTCCCCAGTGTTTGCTTGAACACTTTCAGGGACAGCATTCTTCCTCATGCCGAGCCAGAATCTACCTCTGTACACCATTAACTCATTTTTCCAATTTCAGCCTGAGAGAAAACATCACCTTTAATGTTATACATTGATTAAAAGAGCCCTTACAGCATGCTAGATTTTGAGCAGAGCTTTTCAAATCCTGTAAAACACCTAAGAATCTTATAGGTGATACTATTATCATTTCTTTTTTGTTAAAAAAGAATCTGAGGTCAGAGGTTAAGGTACTTGCCTCAGGTCATATTGGAAAAAAAATTGTAGAGCTGGGATCGAAAGCAGGTCCAACTCTAAACTCTTCAATTACTATACCATACAGCCTCTCTAAAATGGCAAAGGCGGCGGCTGGCTGGTAACAGTTCTCCTACCATGGCCTTAGTCTTCTCTTCTCCCTAGCTCTGATCATGATTCTTCCTATGATGTGACAGCCATAGCCTTTGTCATCCGGTTGCTGTCTTCTGGACTTGTTCAACAGCCTATATATTTATTTATAAAAATTTTATTTATTTACTTTTGAGAAAGGAAAAGGGAAGGAGAAAGGGAGAGAAACATCAGCGTGAGAGAAAAACATTGATCGGTTGTTCTCGCACACCCCCAACGGAGGTATCAGCCCTCAATCCAGGCATGTGTTTTGACAAGAATGCAACCGGCGACCTTTCCATCTGTGAGATAACACCTAACCCACTGAGCCACACCAGTCAAGGCTCAACAGTCCCTTTTAACATGGCCCTGGAACCAAACACAATGTGGTCATCTAGTTCTCTAATCCATGACTACCTTAGTTTATTATCCTCTACCACTTTGTAATATCTAGGACCCTGATGGCTACTGCAACTGGGTTATTAATATATTTGGAAGTGGTGGTGGTAAACAGTAATATATGAAGCTCAAGGGAGCTGGAAAAATGAAAAATAAAAATGGGTGCAAATTCTGAACCGTAACAGTGGACTTAGAGCAGTCTCCATATATGTTTATTTGGGAGTCAATCCCACAATTAATATGAGCATCACCAGTCAAGATGATACCATAAAATTGTGTATTATTGAGTCATTTAAAGGGGTAATATTAAATGAAGACGGCATTTGTTTTACCTTAAAACGAAGGATATCAAGTGAAAATGATAATCAGCACGTCTTACCCTGGAAAACGAACTCTGATTCAGTTGCATTGAACGGTAAAAAGAGATTTCTTCACGTGTATTCCATCATGTGTATATTTATTTAACCTTTTTTTCCCACTACTACATTTTTATTTATAATTATGAAAAATTGGGAACACTGCAACTAGCAATTCGGCATACATTTTCTCTGTTTCTGAATTTTTTTACTATAAACTCTTATAACTATTACATTTAAACCTTTAAAGGCTTTTGCTACATATGAGGGGGACCCCCCCCCAAAAATCGGAATTATCTTCTGGAGGGCAGGCCCCTTGTTGTATAGGTTTCCCCTGCTAGGTGAGTGTTCTAGGAACCCATCTGTATCTGTATCAGTGTACCAGCTGGCGGTGTTGTGAGAGGCTGTGTTGGGTTTCAGTGAATTTTTTTTTGAAGACTCTTTCAACTCACTTGCCCATCTCACAATGGGTGATTTACAAGTGCACTTGCCCACACCGTGTTGGATGTTCAGCAGTTTTTGACCAAAACCCAGCATGATCCCATGCCCCTCCCCTCCGTATTCACCCAATCTCACCCTGAGCAACTTTTGTTTTCCTGGATGAAAATAAGTCCTTAAAGGGAAATGTTTTGCCAATGTAGAAGAGATGAAACAAAAAATAGTAGAAGCACTAAAAGGTATCAAATTGATGAATTCAAAAACTGTTTTGAGCAGTGGAAAAAACATCTCGATAGGTGTGTTGCATCAAATAGAGATTATTCTGAGGGTGACTAGAGTTTAAACATGTGAAAATAAGTTCACAATTTTTTATAAGTAAATTCCATTTTGGGGGTTCCTCCTCACATTGTCAAATTTCTTTCCTGAAAGATTACACCAATTTAACAGAAAAGAATAAGAATATATGTCTCATTAAACCCTTACAGAATTGAATATTACCATAAAAACAAACTTAGTTGTTTTAATTTGCATTTCTTTAATTACTAGTGGGGCTGAACATCTTTTAACATGTATAATAGTTATTTCAGAATGTGTGGTAACAGTATGTTGGCTGGAAAAAGATTAAAGAAAGACGTTAATCATCTTAATTGCCTAAGGACAGTAAAGTTTTTCTCAAATTATACATGTAGGCGGGAAGAGAGTAGAGAAAGAAGAGCTTCTCTAAAGGGTAATATTAATTCTTTAAAATTTTTCTACTTATATTTAATTAAATATTTGGGGAAAGAGAAGTAACCAAAGTTGTCTAGAAATCAAAACCCACTTTTTCTATCTAGTCAGGTATTAAGTCCCCCATTTTTTCTTTTGAATCCTACTTCCTCTTTTTCCCCACTGCAACTACCTCACAGCCACGGTCATTACCTCACACCTAGAATACCACTACAAACTCATAACTAGCTCCTTAACATCAATTTCTCCTCATTATAAAATACCTTACATACATATTTTAAAATAATCTTGCTTAAACCTCACTTTCATGTCACTCTCCCGCCTCACGATTTTTAGATGATTTTCTATTATTCAATGCATCAAGTATCACTCTAGCCTTTAAGGCCCTCTATATCACCACAGTCTAACTATTCTATTTTCTATTCTCATTACTCCCTAATCCAATTTTTCCTCAAGACAGGCAAATCTCCTCAGTTGTTTTCCATATTTATTCGTGTTAATACTCTTCCTTTCAATTGTATGATGTTGCTTTCTGCAATAAGGGCCAGCCCAAGTCATCTTCATGAAGCCTTACCCTAACCCATATCCTTATCTCTAATGACTTACAATGCATAATTAAACACTAGGTTATATATCACCTAGTATTC